CACGTCAGCACGGGCTCCGGGAGCAGAGGAAGGGGGTCTGGGAGGAGGACCCAACTGCCTTCTCCGCTCTCCCCGCACCTCTGCCCCGCAACCTTGGGTCCCTAACCTCCCACCTGTTGCTGCGATGGCGCGAGGTTCTTGCAGCCTCTCATTTCTGACCCGCACCCCCCATTCTTGGTTTGGTACCTCCTTTTCCCAACTATGAAATCCCACCCGCGGCCTGACACTGTTCGTCCCTGTTTGGAGGCTCCATCCCAGGCACCGGAAGGGGGAGGGAGTGGAGTGGTGCCTTGGCGAAGTCATTAGAGCAGGTGGCGGGTTTGGTCTTTTGAGGGGGCCTGGGAGATGGAGATGGGCAATGGGTCCCCCTTGCTGAGATCTGCGGGTGCTTGGGCTTTATCCATAAGGGAAGAAGTAACTGAACTCAACACAAATGTGTTGAGCTTCCATTTTATGCTGCCATGTCATGCCAGGCACCGGACAAAATCCTGGGGTGGTGTGCAAAAATATGTAAGTCAAAGACAAGATATCTGGCCCTAAGGAAGCCCACCATTCAGTGGAAACCAACTGGCATAAAAACGACTAATGATGCTGCCCTCTCCCTTCCTCTTTGTAAAAAATCAATAAAATATATTTTAAAAAAATAAATAAAGGGTCGCGGCATTAGGAAGGCTGAGAACCACTGGCCTAGTGTCATCCTGTGTGGTCAGTGTCTAGGAGATGGGCCCACCTTTTACACCTGTGCCCAAGGAGCCTCCACTGGGCTCCACCTCTGAGGGTGGAGAATGACTTGACTAACGAATCAATGTCAAAATAGGCGAGAGCTAATGGCAGCTAATATTATTTTCCTTGGGAGAGGGTAAGTTATTCTAAGGCCTTTATATGTATCAATTCATTTAATCTTCAAAACATTTTTTTGGTGTGCTGCGGACTTTTAGTAAGTAGTTTATGTGTGCCACGAGATGAGAAAGGTTGAAAATCACTGATCTAGAATATACAAGGACTCTTTAAATTCAATAATAAAAAGACAAATAACCTGACGTGTTATAAACCAGGTTAATCCTAGTAAAGGTTTTGGTTAAAAATAAAAACACTGTGCCCTAGCGAGTTTGGCTCAGCGGATAGAGCGTGGGCCTGTGGACTGGAGGGTCCCGGGATCGATTCCAGTTAAGGGCATGTACCTTGGTTGCGGGCACATCCCCAGTAGAGGGTGTGCAGGAGGCAGCTGATCGATGCTTCTCTCTCATCGATGTTTCTAACTCTCTATCCCTCTCCCTTCCTCTTTGTAAAAAATCAATAAAATATATTTTAAAAAAATAAATAAAGGGTCGCGGCATTAGGAAGGCTGAGAACCACTGGCCTAGTGTCATCCTGTGTGGTCAGTGTCTAGGAGATGGGCCCACCTTTTACACCTGTGCCCAAGGAGCCTCCACTGGGCTCCACCTCTGAGGGTGGAGAATGACTCTGGATCCTCATCATATTCTTTAGAATGGAAACTCCTACAAGATCAACAAATCTCTTCTACTAATACCAATCATCTCTCTCAGTAAGAATGGGGGGATGGGAGGGAGAAAAGAACCCTGGCACACAATAAGTGCTAAAATGTGTTTGGGTACAAATTCTAAGCACTAAAGAGTTCAAAGAAGGAGGAAAGTAAATGATGGCGGTGGGATTTGAGTTCGGTCTCGGTGAGTAAGTAGGATTTAGATTCTAAAAAGACAGGAAAGGGCAAATTGAAGAAAGCAAATAAGACAAACCAGAGCAGGAAGTAATTTTTAAAGGACAGGAAGGAGACCTAATCTTTCTAGAGCAAAATGATCCTATTAAAGAGAACTGGGAGATAAATTTGGGTGGCTAGGGTAGGTCAGCTTATGAAAATCAAGCAAAAAAAAAAAAAAAAAGAAAGAAAGAAAATCAAGCACAAGAATTTAGACTTAGTAGAGTCAAAGAGAGAAAGCTATCAGACTTTAAGCAAAGGAATCATAAAACTGAAGTGAACTTTAAGTAAATATCCTGTTCTGAAAGCCAGGGAGAATGGAGTTTTGTGTTAAGCATGGCTAGTAGGGTTAAATCCTTCCCCACCATCAAAAAGCATGTCAAAGCCGTGTCAAAGGGTATGTTCTACTAGGAGTGAGTCATATGCAAGCCAAGGTCTTCTATCAGCCTGTTCTGTTTGTCCAGTCCTGGTAAATGTCCCCATTTCTATTGTACAAAGAAAGAAAGGCAAACATCTGAAACTGCCACTAATATATACAGTAAGCTCATATGTAAGTTCCGGTTTCCGGTTCTGTCTAATTTACCTTGGCGCTATTTTCACAGAAGTCAAATATTTGGTGCTTTGATACAAATGCAGAACAAATTCCAGGGTGGGGCCTGTACAACTCAACTTCCACAGTGTAGGCTGGCTCATCCATTATAGTTTTCAGATATGAATTACTTTCTTACAGGACAAGAGTGGAGGCAGGGAATGTAGTCAGAAGAATTAAGCTAGCTATCAGGAGTGCAATGGTGCGACCCTGGGCGAGTCATCAATTTTTCTGTGTCTTCTATAAAATTGGGGCTAAATGTTAAGACTTCATGATGTTTCTTTAAGAAGCAAATAAGATCAGATATTAAAGGTTGCCCATTTATGTTGTTTAAAATTTTAAACAGCAAACATATCTGGCTCTTAGCCAACAGCGATGGTTGATGGTGCAACGAGAGTGTCAGCCAATCAATGACTTGGTCACAAGGGAGACATTTTTAGATGGAACCTACCAGGGACACCTCCCTTCTTACTAAAAGTCAGCGTGGCAGGTAACAACCTCCCAGGCTGTGCTTGGCAGTTCAAAGGCGCCTCCTGGAGGAGATACTAAGAACTGAGAGGAAGAAAATAGGTTCTGGAGGTAACATACAAGCAGAGACAACCTGTCCTGGAGGAGATACTAAGAACTGAGAGGAAGAAAATAAGTTCTTTTTTTTTTTTTAAATAAGTTCTTGATGTACAAGCACAGACAACCTGTTAACAGATCACCAGACAAAGCAAACCTTCAGAATCCTCAGCATTTTAATCGACACATTCAGTATAAAATTAGGAACAGGAACATAAATGCCATCATGAAGACTATTCAAGTGTGGATGTGGAGTAATTGCATACAGGAAGAGTAAGAGTTTCCTGCAAGTATAAAAGTATATCCCTATCAAAAGATGAAGAAAAAAAAAGTTCAGCCCTATTTAAATATGCATCGGATAGGAAATGATATGGAATGCATTAGAGGATGAATGAATGACATCAAACCAGAATGATGAAATAATGGATCTAAACCTGGTATTTCCCTTACGTCTCACTGACTCCCAAGACCAATGCTGTCCAATAGCAATATGATGCCAGCTACAAATTTAAAATTTCTACAAGTGACATTAGAAAGGTAAAACAACCCTAACCGGTTTGGCTCAGCGGATAGAGCGTCAGCCTGTGGACTGAAGGGTCCCAGGT